TGCTCCTCCTGATTTTCTTCATTAGGTTGCATACTATCCAGGTCAGGATGGGTTAACTGATACTAGAACCCGAGTTATTTAGGTATGTTGGGAGCAAAGTATTTTAGACTGTCACTTAGTAGTTCTGAAAATGCAAACACAACTTTGGCTGACTTGTATGACAAAGAGCTGGTAGGCTCCAGGTTAGGTAAGTACAAAAATTTGGCTTCTTGGACCATAGTGACTGGATAGTCTCTCTCTTCACATTTGTGATATTAAGCAGAGATTTCTTCACTTAAAACCCTTACACACATTTTATTTCAAGCTATTCTTATTTTGTTTATGCAAGCATTTATGGATGTTGTATTCATCTTCTCTCCATTTAATTGATAAGTGGATATTTGGATTTGAATTTTGGTATTTTTGGAGTCGTAACTTAAGAAACTGAGCTGTGTGTTGTTTTTGTTTTCCCTCTGTGTACAATGTAGACGGTTTCAATAAAGTTTTTCCAATGGAGAAATTAAGTTCCTTTAGCCATGAAGAAGTTCAGATGATTCTTTGTGGAAACCAGTCACCATCCTGGGCAGCTGAGGATATTATCAATTACACAGAACCTAAGCTGGGATATACACGTGACAGGTATGTATTGGTATTTTCTAAGAACAACAGAATTGTTTATATCCCATAATCAACTGAGATTCTCTAAAGAATTATAACTCCGTGAATTACATTCATAAAATAAATTGAGAAAACAGATATGTCTCACAGTTACCAACATGTAAGTGGATGCTATCCGTTGATGATGTGAGAGTACACAAAAAGATAACTGAATCTTGGCTGATGTTTAGATTTTCTGAATTTAATTGTTCACTGTTTTAAAAAGAGTATACATCAGGCTGTATTGCTTTTATTTGCTTTTTATTTTCAAATAATCTCAAATTTACAGGAGAGTTACAGGAAGAGTTGAAAGAATTCCCATATATCCTTTATCTAGATTTACCAGTATTTAACATTTTGCCACATTTCCTTTATGATATTCTCTCTCTATATATGTATACATACACATAATTTATGTATGTATATGTATGTGGAGCCCTGGTGGCACAGTGGTTAAGAGCTATGGCTGCTAACCAAAAGGTTGGCAATTCGAATCCAGCAGCCACTCCTTGGAATCCCTACAGGGCAGTTCTACTCTGTCCTGTCAGTTACTGTGAGTTGGAATTGACTTGACAGCAGTGGCTTTGGTTTTGGTCATATATATGTATGTATACACACATGCTATTTTTTTTTTCTGAACCATTTAAGGATATTTTGAATACATCATGTCCTTTTACTCTGTAATTCTTTAGTGTACATTTCCTGAAAACATGGATATTCTTGCATGTATCCATATTAACTATCAAATTCATGATGTCATTGATGTTGTTGTTTGCCGTTGAGTCAATTGCAACTCATAGCAACCCAGTGTGACAGAGTAGAACTGCCCCCATAGGGTTTCACAGGCTGTAAATCTTACAGAAGCAGATCTCCACGTCTTTTCTCCTGAGGAGCAGCTGGTAGGTTTAAACTGCCAAGCTTTTGATTACCAGCCGAGCACTTAATCATTGCACAAATATTAGCTAATCTAATATTGGTGTATTCCAGTTTTGTATATTGTTCCAGTAGTGTCCTTAATAGCATTTTTGCCTCTGGTCCCAGGAAACTGCATTTAGATGTGATGTCTTTTAAATCTGAAACAGTTTTTCAGCCATTCTCAGCCACTTATGTATTTAAAGACTTTGGGGCCTATACTGCTTTTTTAAAAAATGTCACCAAATTAATGTGAATGAGGCAAGGAAATAACTTTTTTATAGTTGGTTGTCTATTTTATATACACCCTAAAATAAAGACTATAATGAGTTATTTTAAACTGAAATAACATTGTTTATATAGCTTTCTTTAAATAAACTTTTCGTTGAAGTATGAGAAAAGTACACAAATTATTTGCACAACTTAGAGAATTTTCACAAAATGAACACACCTGTATAATTGGTATCCAGAGTAAGAAATATGAGAAACTGAGTAAGAAACTAGTAAGAAATAACTCCATCAGCCCCTTTCTGACCATACCTTTTCTAGTCATTAAATCACTATCCATTGATTTATTTTGCTTGTTTTTAAACTCTAATAAATGAAATCATGTAACATATGTTCTTTAGGATTTGGATTTTTAAACATGATTATGAAATTCATCCATGTTGTGGCATATAGCAGTAGTTGATTTCATTGATATACAGTATTCCATTACATAAATTTATCACAATATATTTAACCATTTTATTATGATGAAAATGATTACTTCAGGTACTGTTTGGTAATTTAGTTATATTTGGATTAATTATGCAAGTGCATCTTGAGCTCTCTTGATTTGCTGGCTTCACTGCATAATGTTTGACCACTTTACTCCATCAGTGTTCCTTTTCTTACCATTTGTAAGTGCAACACAGTCTTTGAAGACTTCTTTCCTTTTTTAGCAGTCATTATTTAAAAGTGTTTTTCAAAGTATCTTGTATCAGCCCATTTCATCCTTACTTAACAGTCTCTTATAGAGTGGTGTTTTTCTGACACAGGAATATAGTTGGGTTATTGCCAGCCTACAAAGTAATAGTAATGTTTTTCCTTTAAATCTGCTGTCAAATCACTATTCCTATATTTTTATTCCTGTAGCCCTGGTTTCCTAAGGTTTGTGAGAGTTTTGTGTGGCATGTCTTCAGATGAAAGGAAAGCATTCCTACAGTTTACTACTGGCTGTTCAACTCTACCCCCAGGTGGACTGGCTAACCTACATCCCCGGCTCACGGTTGTACGCAAGGTACAAACATTCTAGCTAACAGGGAATCCAGATGGAATTTGGTTACTTAAGGACTGAAAGAAACTTTTTTTTTTAATTTTTATTTTTTTAACATATATTGTTAAGAGACCCCAACCGCTCACCCCATTCTGTGACAGCACACTCTTCCCCTCCGCTCCTGATTCCCCATGAACATTCAACCAGCTCCTAACTCTCTCTGCCTTCCCCTCTCACCTCTGGACAGAAGCCGCCCCTTTGGTCTCTTATATCTACTTGTCTAAGAGGCACATTCTTCACGAGTATCACTTTATGTCCCACAGTCCAGTCCAATCCAGGTCTGAAGAGTTGGCCTCGGAAATTGTTTTAGTTCTGGGGTGATGGAGAAACCAGGGGCCATGCTTTCCAGGGTGCCTCCAGTCTTAGTCAGACCATTAAGTCTGGTCTTCTTACTAGTATTTGAGTTCTGCAGCCCATCGTTCTACTGCTGCATCAGGTACCCTTTGTTGTGTTCCCTGTCAGGATGTTCATTGGTGGTAGCTGGGCACCATCTAGTTCTTCTGGTCTCAGGCTGATGAAGTCTCTGGTTTATGTGGCCCATTCTGTCTCTTGGGCCAATACTTTCCTTGTGTCTTTGGTGTTCTTCGTTCTCCTTTACTCCAAGTGGTTGGGACCAATTGATGCATCTTAGATGGCCGCTTGCAAGCTTTTAAGACCCCAGACGCCACTCACCAAAGTAGGATGCAGAACATTTTCTTAATAAGCTTTGTTACGCCAATTGACATAGATGTCCCCTGAAAGCATGGTCCCCAGACCCCGAATCCCTGCTACTCTGTCTCTCAAAGTATTTGATTATATTGAGGAAACTTCTTATCTTTGGTTTTGTCCAGTTACGCTGGCTTCCCCTGTAGTGTGTGCTGTCCTTCCCTTTACCTAAGATCATTCTTATCTACTATCTAGTTAGTGAATAACCCTCACCCTCCCTCCCCACCCCCGTAACCATCAAAGAATGTTTTCTTCTGTGTTTAAACCTTTTCTTGAGTTCTGAAAGAAACATTCAAACTCATGATCTTCTGTTATTTTCATAGGTTGATGCTACGGACGCGAGCTACCCATCAGTGAATACTTGTGTGCATTATCTTAAGTTGCCCGAGTATTCTTCCGAGGAAATCATGAGAGAGCGCCTGCTAGCTGCTACAATGGAGAAAGGTTTTCATCTCAATTGATCTTTGAAGTGCAATGGGAGACATCAGACTTTTAAATACTAATGAAGCCTCTCGTGTTTGTGTGCAGAGAAGTGTATGATTCTCCACGCTGATGACACTTGCCTTTTTTTCCACCTTTAAGGCTTTAAGAATATGTGGATTAAGTTTGTTAGCTGCTAATGACAAAACAAATCCTTTACCCAGCCAGCGAGTATATAGCACAGAACACTGTGTGTTGTTACAAGGGCTTATGTGACTGGAATACGGTGGTCCTACTTGACTGTTCCAAAGAGCAGCTTATCAGATCTTCAGTGTTCACTGGTAAATTTCTAACAGTGTATTTGTGTAAAGTTTGTCATTTCATACTCCATACACTACAGTTGCCATCACTGATCCCTGTTTTGCTGGCTTTTTAAGCTACTTGCTGAAAAATTCTGCTTCCTTAAAACATAAGAGTGTTAATGAGCATCTCAAGCTTTTTCTTTTCCTTTTTAATGATGCCTGCACTATCAGAGTATTCTAGTGTTATCTCATTTTTTTGGCATATAATCATGCACAACCTTTTTATTTCTTTAAGGTGGCAGTATATTTTTATTTCCTAAATACCGTACTATAAAGATCAAATTCTTAAGTGTGTTTGTGCAGCTCAAAAATAAAGATATATTAAGGGGAAAAACCAACAACAACTTAGGTGCAAGGCACACTTAAAGCAAGTTTTTCTTTTGGTTGTATTTTCTTTGTATATTATAAACATTTATTTAACTTGTTGCAGTTTGAAGTAAAAATTTTCCAAAATGTATGCTCAACAATAATCATTAAAATGTTTGCAGCGTACAAAATTGTGTCATGTCACTATTTCACTGCCACTCGTCAGACCTGAGAGCTTAACCAGATACTTTTTATTTTGAATCATTCAGATTTGGTTTTCTGAAATTACTACATGAAGAAATGTATTTTTCTATAGTGAATACATTTATTGAAATTAGAAAGCTTAAAAGAAATGTATGTTCTGTGCTTAACTGTGATCTGTCGTGTTCAGTCTTAAAGCATTCTTCAGCTAGAAACAGCCAAGTTATTTGTGTTAACTTTTTAAAAACCAGATCCACTGCTTACCATTGTATCTGCAGGATATGAAAGTCTAAGATCCAGAATGACTTTTTGAATGTTGTGTTAATGTGAAAAGAAACAACCAGGAAAAGAAGGAGCTGTATTTATATTTTCCAAATTCCTGTGATTACCACATCTGTGCATATAGGTGGAAGAAATGGCACTAGACCTGATTAAGCCAAATGGCTTTTTTAGGAGCCAAAGCATGTTTTGAAATTGCCCATTATTTACCTGTTTAAAAGGTATGTTCCCTTTCTACATTAGAAGAGGTATCTCCCACTATAATCAATGATTTGAGTATTGTTTTTATTTGCTGCCATGAGAATGTTGTGACTGTGTAACCAGAGGCAGCATTTAAATATTTCACTTCATTGTCAGCTTCACAGTTCTCTGTGAGAATAAAAGTTAAAATAAAACATAATAGTATTGAAATGTATGACCTATGCTTTAATCCAAAAAATAGTGGTGATGGTTGTCTCAGGCATGTCATTGATGCATGACCAAAACTTTATACTAATGTTAGAATTAAAATCCATATATATGTTATAGTATTGCCATTGTTACAGTCTCTAAAAGTCTGTCAAAAGCCAGCTTATACCGGCACAGGGGTTGGCAAACTATGGCCCATTGCCTGTTTTCATATGGCCCACAAGCTAAGCGTGATTTTAAAATTGGTAAATAGTTGGGGAAAAAAAAAATCAAGACTATTTCATGATGTGAAATTCTGTGAAATTTAAATTTCAGTGCCCATAAATAATGTTTTTTAGAACACAGCCAAGCTCTTTAATTTATATATTATATGTGGTTGCTCCTGCACTACAAGGACAGAATTGAGTAGTTAGAGACCATGTGGCCCACAAAGCCTAAAATAGTTATTGTCTGGCCCTTTACAGGAAAAGTTTGTTGACGTCTGGTCTAACAAGTTACTAGAGCAGGTAAATTGATCAGCCCTATAAAGACAGAAACAGTTTACAATGTCAGGAATCTTCAAATCTAAGAGTAAGATAAAGCTGGCCAATCTGAGACTTAAATTTCCTGAATGTGAAATCATCACTTAATGAGATGATGAAACAGTCTGTAGAACAGATAGTCACATTACAGTTTGTCTTACAGGACATCTACTGGGGTCTCCATATATATACTAAGTTTTTGAGAATTTTTTCTGTGGTGTCTACCTAATATTTTTTTAATCTGTTATTGTACTCTCAAGGTACTAAAATCTGTGCCAAGATGTAATTCAACTACTATTTTGGTGTGACCCAAAAATTAATTTTGTTCACTCCCTAGCCACTTCTGGTGTACCAGTTTCAGCTGTTACCTGATTAAGTTTCTACCAACCAGGACAGTGTTTCCCAACTAGTATGTCTCAGAAAGACCTCCAAAGTATTTTGATCTAGACTGGGCTTCTCCTAGAACCTTGGCTGCTTAATACAAAGGTACACTGATACACACACACCACTCACTGTCCCCACAGGTCAGAAGCCTTTCCTCTACCTTCCTGAATGAGTCCAGAACAACTCAGGTTTGCTTTTGGAATTCACTATGACTTGTTACCTGGGTCTTCATGGATGCAGACTTTGAAATATGTAAATAGATTTTTAGAAAAAAGAAAGTAAAACACAAAATGTCCCTACACACACACGAGAGATTGAGAGACAGAGAAAGCAAATACAGTGCTAAATGAAATGTCAGTGCTTAAAATGTCTCTTTGGGAGGCTAAGGTGTAGAGTAAAGGACTCTTGGAAATTCCATAGGATGGCAGAATATCTTAATGTACCAAGACAATACACTTCCACTTCCTCCATTGCACCTGCCCTCCCACCCCTACATATACATGCTTTTATCTAAGGCAGTTCTGTATGTCCTACTGTTGACTGAGCAGCAAAAGCATATAGAAAGGGTAAAACCCTTCAGAATTCGACATAAAGAATAATTGTAAGGGTTCTCTTTTAATGTTTACTCATCCATTATTTGATAGTAACATTTTTATAGAGTTAATTATATGATAGCATTGTAATTGCTGAGTCCCCTTAAAATGGATGGCAGATGTATTTAGAAGCTGGCAAATAAAATTTAATTCTGCCATCTTCATTAAGTAGACGATACAGAAAATTTTAAAAATGTAAATTTTAAGACTTTCTTAGGAAAGAGAAGGCATTCAGAAAACAATGTTATTCAAAATGCTGTATGTGATTAAGTCAGTTTTAAAAGGCTGATTGATAGAGAGCTGCCACACATTCCTCCTATGCTCTTCCTATTTCTTGATTTAATTTGCAAAAGGAAGCAGAGACCAAAAAGGGTTCCTCTGATACTCAACAAAATTTGAAGCAATGGGAAAAAGTGTTTTAAAAAGTTAGAAAATAAAACTTGTTTCTCAGTTTGGATTATTCTTTGTACATTATATTTTAAAATACAGTTTTGTTTTCCATTTAGGATCTGTGGAAAACACCTATTTATAATTATAATGTCTTTGCAAGGATACCCTGTTTTGCAATGTGTGGTCTTCCGGATTCTTTTGGGCTTCAGATGTTGAGAGGTATTCCATGGTGTTCACATTTCCTGTAAATCAGGTGTTGTCTAGCGGGCCTCTTCCATTTTTCAGCTTTCTGATGTCTTATCAAGAATTAGTAGAGGGGCAAGAATTCTTGCTCGGTTAGTTTCCACAATACAGCCATTTAGCACCATCTCATCCAAAATTATGTGTACTTTATCTAAATTAAACATTATCTAAAATCATATTAAGGAAATTAGTTTTAGAGTTATAAAAATATTAAGTTATGACTTAGCCTGGAATTTTTCCAGTATAAGTTATTCTAAGCATGAAATTTTTAATAGAAATCCTGGTATTAAATTTAAAATTGATATCCACATTAGAAATTATTACCTCTGTGTACACAGACACACACACTTAGTTTCACCTTGGTTATGATAATTGGACAAGTAGGCATAGAAATGGAACACGTACATTTTTTTAGCTAGAGGGAAGAGGAATCCACTAAAGCTGGAGAACAAGGCAAATGACACTTGGCAAGAGCATGACTTCGCCTCAGATAATAACAGTAATAATAATAGCAACAGTCATTGAATAATCCTTATGTTCCAGGCATAGTGCTGAGTGTTTCACATTTCAGTCTTCTCTACAACCCTATGATGTACATGTTACATATCATTTTACACAACAGCAAACAGGCTCAAAGCCATTGTCCAAGGTCACATGGCTAGTAATTACTGGAGCTGGCATTTAAACCTTTAAAGCGTTTAAAGCTTAGGCTCTGCTTTGGGTTTAAGCCTGTTCTGTTCCCAGGCTTCTCAGGAAAGGCCTGAGGCTGCCAGGTGGACACCTTCCCGTAGTCTCCAAACCTCCACCCAAAACAAATCCCTTTACAGCCTAGATCTGCAGCTATCTTCTCTGCTAGCCAGAAGAAAAATAACCATAAGGAGAGATGAACATGCTGACTCAGTTCCCAAGTAAAAAAAAAAATTGAATTTCAAGACAGTACCTCTTATAAATGAACAGCTAAGAAATACTCATTTGAGAGTTAGGGAGCCACTTTAACTTACTGTGTTCTTATTGGAAGGTTAGGGTATGGGGGAACAAGAAAGTATTGTTTAGACTGTAATGTCTAACTGACTAGAAAGAGCTAATTTTTTCCTTCCAGAACTTCTTTGAGTACCTGTTTTTCTTTTGTGAAAGGAGAAGGGGAATTAATGAAGTAATGACAATGGTTGAATGTTTCTGAATTCTACACTTCAATATCTGAAGTTTTCACCTCTATTTAAAGAGCATGGTCCTGGTCTGTTAAAAAAAAGTGGATAGATTGTTCCAACTAGATAAACTTCATCCAACCTATGAATGATTAAATGTACTCGGGAGTTTTATAATTAGTGAAGCTTTGTAAAGTGAATCATTACCACCTGATTTTCAATAATTTCAGGTGCTCAAAGTCCATACTTTATTTGCTTGCTTAGTAAAATATATCTATAGAGAATGAGACGACCCTGTGAATGACTTCTAAGTTTCTCTTAGGCTCTGCATTAATTTCTCATTAAGCTCTGTGCAAATAGTCCTCCAGCAAAATAAACTGTTTTTAGGGGCCCTTGGGAGCTGTCCTTAAATGATCCAGAAAAAAAAAAACTTTAATATACCTATTAATGTCATCCAATTAAAGGACCCTTGGTGGTGCAGTGGTTAAGTGCTTGGCTGCTAACTGGAAGGTCAGCAGTTTGAACCCACCAGCCACTCTGCAGGAGAAAGATGTGGAAGTCTGCTTTCATAAAGATTTACAGGCCTCGAAACCCTATAGGACAATTCTACTCTGTCTTGTAGGGTCACGATGAGTCGGAATTGACTTGATGGCGATGGGTTTTGGTTTTTGGGTCTTCCAATTATGTAGATGATTGCTTTGTCCCATCGCCAAACCAGGACTGGAATGTTAAGCCCTTGACTGAATCCTGTTCACCAGACCCAGAAGCCAGAATTTAAGAGCCAAGTCAAAGTAGGAATGACAGCCAGGTACACATTAAGGCAGAGTTGGGGAGCTTGCAGAACCCCCCTGTTGTATTTATGAAGGGCAATGAAAGCCTTAGTGCCTTTGAAAATTTCAGCTCATCCAAGATGATTTTCTTTGAGATAGAAGGAAATCTAATTTTAATCTATGTGAATTGGTTCAGGGATCAAGCTGCTCTGAGGACTGCTCCATCTTTTTGGCAAGCAGGTGATATGCAAGCCAGATGTCCCCTTGAGCAACTGGCCAATTGTTTTGAAATCTAGATCAGAATTTACTGCTGAATCATATCAGTCACTGTTATCCCCCACTGCAAGAAAGAAAAGGTCCTTCAGCAGAACTGAATTTCCCAACATCCTGGAAACATGATGTTCAGTTAAGTCATTCTGAACTGTGGGTATGTGACTGCCTGCCTGTCTGACTATCTGGCTCAAACCCTTAACAACCATGCAACTTTCTGGCAGTATATGGGAAAACCACAGACCAAATCCAATGTGACAGGCAAAGGCCTGAAAGCTGATTTCCCCCTGGAATTATGACTCCTTTAAAATAAAAATCCAACTGTTATTGACATCTTGGTTTGGTTTATGAGGAACTTACACATACTGGTGAAGCCAGCAGTATGGCATTTGGGTCATATGCCAGGTGAGCAGGGGCCAAAAAATATGCCAAGTCCCATGGCAATAAACATAGGCAAACAAACTTCAACCCTGAAATTTGGAATAGCAGGAAGCGAGGATGCCCAGATTGAGGGTCTATTAATGTGATAAGCTGAGAACACAATTTCAAGAAGGTCCTACCTTTAGACTATGCTGAACTTGACTGACTCTAAAGATCCCTTTAAGGTAATATGTTTCCCTCATGGGCTTCTTAAGGTTGGTGCTAATACGAACTAGAAACAGTCCCCTGAAGAGCAGCCCGACTGTCCCAACCCTGAAACCTCAGCCTTTCAGAATTTCTATGTAATGTGGGTTGCAGTTGCAACACCACAGGGCCCCTGTCATATTAGTGCCACTGTGAAATCACTTTTTGTTATTAAAGTGATTGAAATGCATATGGTTCCTACATTGGAATTTTGATCCCTGGATCATGAAACACTTTTTCATCCGGTATTTTAACACCACTGGTGATCTAATTATCCTTAATAAGTGACAAAACAGAGCAAAAGACTTGAATGCGACCTCAAGAACAATTTCAGGGCAAAGCCCAGCCTACAAAGTAAAATTTATAACTCTTTACTCTCAGATCCCCTGGCTTCTCTTTTTTTTTTAAATTCTACTTTAGATGAAGGTTTACAGAGTAGACTAGTTTCTCATTAAGCAATTAATACATATACTGTTCTGTGACATTGGTTGCCAACCCCATTACATGTCAACACTCTCCCCTTCTCGACCTTGGGTTCCCCATTACCAGCTTTCCTGTCCCCTCCTGCCTTCTTGTCCTTGCTCCTGGGCTAGTGTGCCCATTTAGCCTCGTTTTGTTTCATGGGCATGTGATTTCTTTTTTTAAGATTCTAGCTAAACAAAGTTCTTTGGTACATTAAGTAGGGTGGGAATAAACTTGCTCCCTCATTAGTTACACTTTAATACAATTTCTTATGAAATTAGATAAGCTGCCAAGGGCCATTGTGTTCACATTTTCTACAGAAGATTGAATACTACTATATAGAAGAATCATCATCATCGTGAAACTTCTACACAGTCCTGGATATACTGTCCTTACAATTCAGCCTTTCCGTCCGCCAAGGGCCATTGTATTCACATTTTCTACAGAAGATTGAATACTACTATATAGAAGAATCCTCATCATCGTGAAACTTCTACACAGTCCTGGATATACTGTCCTTACAATTCAGCCTTTCCGTCCACTTTTAGGCCTAAACTGAAAAGGAGTGTTTTTTTTCTGTTGTTGTTGTTTGTTTGTTTTTAGGTAGGTTTGCTTAAAGACACATTCATATTCCAAGAGCAACAGAGACCTAGGTGTAATTTTGCTTAAAGTTTATATAGGCTTAATGGAAAATTACACAGTGCTGGATCAAATAAAAAATAAACTTGTGATTCATTTTTTCGTCTCTATGCCTTCTCATAATTTGCTATCACTGTTTCTGACTAAAACAGTACCCAGAAGAATGCAACAAAAGGTGTTGGTATAAGGTGGAGGGGCTTTGTGGAGACGTAGAGTAGCGGATGGATATGTCACCTAGAGGACTCAGAGAACAGATTTAAAGGAAATAAGGACGTGGCTAGCGTTTGTGGGAGCCATTCCTGGAAGCCAGGACTGTTTAATCTGGAACATTCACATCCCTTTCCCAGGTGAATGGCTGAGTCCCTTGGGGACTGTTCGTAATTCTGAAACTCATTCATGACAGCCCTGGCTAGAACTCTCATGCTGGAGAGGGCCCTGGCCCTGTTGTCCCTTAGTGCCTGTGCTTCCCAAAGATGAGGCTGGCCACACACATTCCCTCAGGCCATGAGTCAGCTCGCAACCCCTCGTAGCCCTGCTTTCAATTTTACATTTTCAAAAGTAAAAAAAAAGATGTTTAGAAATCTCTGGATGTGAACTCCACTTTTGGAGAGAATGCTCTTATCAAAACATGCACAGATACTCGCTTCAAGATTTTTCATCATTCCTGACTCCTCCAACCAGACTAGTTTTTCTCTAAAACTTCTAATTCAGGAAAAAGCTTTCTGACAGCACCAAGCCACCATGGTGACAGGCACTTTATGTCATTTTATTAGAGACCAAATTGCCACAATCTACTCCAAATGATTATGGATTTTTAAAAAAATGTATCAAAGTTAACCTTCTAACTAATGTATGTCAAGGGCCATGGATACCCAGAGGCTGGTACCAGCTCTGCCCCAAAGTAGCTCTATGGATTAGGATGTCACAGAACCTCTCTGGGCCTCAACCTCTTCATCTAAAAAGTGAGGTTTTTAACTTGATTGTGTAGGTTTCCTCCAGCTCCAGAGGACTCTAATCCTATGACAAAATGTAACCTTCAGGGAGAGGGGAGGTGGTTTACTCCGCTCTGATACTATCAAGACATTCCTGAATTAATCATATGCTCCATCATACTATAAAAGAAATCCATTTGTAATGACTTTATTATCACTGTAATTTTTCTGAGAGAATATCCAGAAAATTTTAGTTCATTTAGAAGCTGCTGCTTCTGTGTTGGGCAGCTTTCTTGGAAAATATCGTTGCTCTTCTTGCCAGTATTTCCATAGCCCCTAGTTTGAACAAGTATTTTTGCAATTGCTCATTAAGTCAGGCTGAAATTATCTCCTACTTAGAGAAGCCCTATTCTGGTTTCTGGACCTCTAAAGGTATGTGGGATTTGGGGAAGGTAGTGAAGGAACAAAGGTAGGTACCCCACAGTGTGTCCTGGGTCTTCATCAGGGCCTGACTGGCTGTAAATGTTGGTGGTGCTGACTACTGCTGACTGCATGCCATCATTCCTCCAGGGAGTCCATGGGAGCTACTGGCTGAGTCCCACAGAGGGCACACAGCACTGAGGCCCTTCCTGCTCCCCCACCCTCAACTGCAAAAAAGAAGCCATGAGTCTACTTTCATATCACCCACAATGAGTATTAGGATTCTAGAATTATCACTCTGGCTTTAAGGGTTTATAAAATAAAAACATGAATGTTTTTAAGATGTTTTTAAATCAAGAAAACATTCTGAATTCTAGGCCCATGCTATGTGTGTGGGGGGGGGCACAAGAGATAAGGACCCCCAGCCCTGTCCCCAACTTCTCTACCCATGAATGTGGGACACCCCAGCCATCATCCCACCCTTCCTATCATTCCTGCCCCCAGTCTAGGGGAGGAGGAAAGGCCTGCACAGGCCCTAGCACCAGGCTGTGGGCTGTCTGGGCAGGAAATTCTGGGGGCCCAGAGGGTGTTTGAGAAGTGGATGGGGGGGGCCCTTAAGCTCCAGGTGGGCATCCTTGCCGCTGTGTTAAAGGAGAGCCAGAGTGGGGCCCTCTACAACATACGGCGAGTACTGCTGGGTTTTGTTCCAGCCAAAATGAACCAAGTCTTTTAAGCCTCTTTAAAAGAGGCACTAAATATCAAAAAGGCTGTTAAGGTTTTCTATACCTCTACACATATAGGGCTGCTATGAGTCGGAATCGACTCAATGGCAATGGGTTTCAGGTTTACACATACAGTAGGTGTGCGCTGAATTGAGGAGGAGCTGGTGAACGCAGTGCCGTCCTGTATTTAGCAGAAGGGAGTGGAGATAGCGCCTCTGAATGAGGAATTGCCTGGAGAATTCCTGGGGCAAACCACCTGGGGCTCCACTTCCCACTTTGGGAAGCTTACCAATTGAGGCCTAAAAGATCATCTTAATTCATGGAATTTGAAATCTTAACAAGTCTACTAAGGTATGGAGTAGGACAAACAATTCCTATGGAATCAGGTCCTCGGGAGTCCTCAGGCAGCCTTTCAGTCCAGTGCATGGAATGGAATGAGAAGAGTGTACAGGAGCTTATTCACAGCATGTGAAGGATGTAGGTCACTGGCCTGCTGGACCTGTTTGCCCCACCTGACACCCCTGGCACCAGAGGCTTTCCATTTAGTGGAAGGTTTTCAATAAGCCAGAATTTCTGCTGTGATTTCTTGTGCTTAGATCATTTCTTTTTGAAATCCCACCTGTCTTGCTTTGTGATGCGAGTCTTACTAGCAGTAGCACAAGCTCATACTAGGGAGAAATGTAAATGGTACACTTTATTTCTCAAAGTCTAACCCGGCAGACCCTGGAAAAATGCCCCATCCATAAAAGGCTTCAAGGCAGAAAAGCTTCTGGAGAAAAGGACTTTTAAGCACGGATTTTTTTTGGGAGTTTCATGAGGTTGTGACTTCTATCCTCCTGTTGTTGCACCACAACCACACCTTAAATCTGTCTACTCCATGTGGGCTGACAAAGAAGGCTTTCTTAAGCATGAGCAAACACAAGGAAGATTACGGGCTCTGAGCATTGGTGCTCTTAGTGAGCTCACTAGGCTGCAATTTTATGAATAGCAGTTGCTTGTTTTCAACTTTTCCAAGGTCTAAGGAAGCAGACCTGAATAATGGTACTCTCACAGGTTCCTGGATACATGCTGCCAGAATGATGATGTAGAACATCCAAGGCCCTATGCAGAGGGAGCAGGAAACTGAGGCTGAGACTCTAAAAGGCTCTTTTGTGTTACCGCAATAGAACTAGCCTGCAGAGGTCCTCCCTGGACATCAGATCCATTGCTTAAAAAGAATGATGCATGAAGCATAATAGAGTCATGGGCTTTTAATCTGATTTTTTTCAGATGGCTGGGGGTGGTATCCTCTTATGAATGTAAATAGAAGAAAGCTGTCCTATGTTCTGCCTTGCCACCCACTCCACTTTTAGACCGTTGAAGGTGCAACTGAAATTATGCTCAAAGCAAAGACATATTCTTCAAGGTCTCCCAAAATGATGCAAAATTCTAAATCTGTTGGATATACCTAAGTAATTTCTAAGCACAGTAAATATATAACCTAGTCAGAGAGGAAGGGAAGGTGAAAAAGAAGCCAAGTGTAAAGAGGGGCAAAAGATATAAACCCTGTGTCTTGGTGTATGAATTAAATTCAAATAAGAACACTAGATCTCATTACATGGCCCTATGCCACACACAAGGGGGGCACAAAAACAAACACACCCTTCCCTACTTCTAACAAATATCTAGTCAATACGAGACACATCAACACAGACAATCTGACCATAATACATATCCTGTTAGATCTGACTTATTCTCTGAATTTCTAGATGTGTAAGACTTTCTCTTCTTGCTTTTAGGTGTAAAGTAACAGCTCAGTTACCTAGAATCATGGTGTCATCAAATATTAAGGCTTAAAGGAACCTTACAGCTCTTCTAGTCTAGTTTGCTCATTTTGACTTGAAGAATTTTATGCTTGTCCAATGCACACAGCTAGTTAGTAGCAAGACCTAAGGTGGAACTTCCCAGTGAAGTGACCATTAGCTCTTGGCATTTTCCTAATGACTTTTTAAATCAAAAGGCATATCTTGTTATTCCTCTGTAGAAGTAGGAAGAGATTTATTTTGAATTGCTTTAAAGACCTTAGTTAAAATGGAATGTTACATTTTGAATAAAAACACATCCTAACATACAGCCTGGTCTTTGCGTCTTGGGTCAAAGGGATCATAGATTTAGGTCACTCACCACTAGGGGGCACTCAGAGTTCCCCAGTTAATTTAAAGAGGTTTCCAAATAAAGCCTGCAATGTTTCCTACCAATATTAAAAGGTAAATGACCATTTTCCCAGAATATTAAGTGGATGTGAATATTCTAGTTCTGGGCATAGGTGTCTAATATATATATTTGTTGTTGTTGTTAGGTGCTGTTGAGTTGGTTCTGACTCATAGCGACCTATAGAACCGAGAAGAACTGTCTCATAAGGTTTCCGAGGAGCAGCTGGTGGATTTGAACTGCCGACCTTTTGGTTAGTAGCTGAGCTCTTAACCACTACGCCACCAGGGCTACCTGGGTGGCACAAACGGTTAAGCACTAGATAACTGGCTGAAAGGTTAGTGGTTCAAATCCACCCAGAGGCATCTAAGAAGACAGGCCTGGTGATCTGCTTCAGAAAGGTCACAGCCTGGAAAACCCTACGAAGCACAGTTCTACTCCGCACACATGGGGTTGCCATGAGTTGGACCTGACTCAATGGCAACTAACAATGACAACATATATATATATACAATATTATATATATACATACAATAATAATTAATTTACTATTTTAGTTTCAAGCCTTATGTGTTCCCAAAGGGCTCCTTTATTTATTGCTTTCAAGCAGTAAGCAGATTTTTTGAACTAAAAAATTAACTTAAAAGTCAACTTTCCTCCAGAACACTCAAACAAAGCCTAGTGGGCTCCGGCCAAAATCCACAGGCCTGCAGTATTCTAAGCAAATGCTTGTTGTCAGGGTCCTTGGATACTGTGATTTATAATGGAGAAGCAGAAGAAAAGCACAGCTTTCTCTGCTAGAAAAAGAAATGAATTAAGCCAGGCAATTTCTTCAACCCTCCAGTTTATCATCCCTGCAGTCCTTATTCTGATCATGAAGGGATTACTCAAGATTTGTACCTGGAGCCAGGAAAATCTAGTTTCTATAGGAAACTAAGCACTTTTTGGCTGTGTCCTTTAAATTCTGAAAAGAGCCTACCTATGTGATTAAAAGAAGCCAAATTAATATAGTTAATAACTATCACCATAGCCTTGCCTGGGGAAAAAAAAAATCTTACTAAGAATTGCTTTTGTAAAAGACCAGACTTATTGGTCTGACATTGACTGCAGAAACCCCAAAAGTATGGCCCCCAGACAACCTTTTAGCTCAGTAATGAAGTCACTTCGGAGATGCACCCTTCAGCAAAAGATTAAACAGGCCCATAAAACGAAACGAGACTAAATGGGCACACCAGCCCAGGCGCAAGGACTAGAAGGCAGGAGGGGACAGGAAAGCTGGTAATAGGGAACCCAAGGCTGAGAAGGGGAGAGAGTGTTGACATGTCATGGGGTTGGCAACCAATGTCACAAAACAATATGTGTACTAATTGTTTAACGAGAAGCTAGTTCGTTCTATACACCTTTACCTACAGTACAATAATAAAAAAAAAAAAAGAATTGCTTTTGTAAAAAGAAAAAAGGAGGGGAGGGGTGGGGGGTGGTGAGAGGTTTCTCCAAAGCACCTGTACCTGGCTGTCTCATCATGGTTGCATAGTTGTTGATGATTAACATTCTGGATTCTGCTGAATCGTTTTCCTGCCACGTGGCACTTACCTGATCAGGACTAGAATGTGCTTTGCACAGTGCCATGAAAAACTCAGCTCACAGTATTGAAAAAAGGATACATCTAATTCACTCTGGAAAAGAGAAAAAGTGTGCAGAAGGTGAGAATGAGATGCTGGAACACAAGCACTTGGCATAGTTAACGACTGCTCTGGTCTCTAAGCCAGGAAGCAGGGAGGAGAGGCTGCTTGGTGTTTAGAAGCCTGAGAGTGGGAAGGCCCTGAGTCTGAGCTTGTGATGAAAAAAATATACATATATACATATACATACATACATATATATATATATATATATATATATGCTGCAGTTTAGAGGAATTTTATAGGCTACAACGATTCATCTTTAGAAAGTGAAGGGAATAAACTGACTCAACCTTTACAGGTAGCAGGTGATTTGGTATGTTCTACTCTGTCCTATAGGGTTGCTATGAGTTAGAATTGACTAGATGGCAAACAACAACATCGAAAACCTTAAAAACATGCAAAGCCTTTGGATTCATCAATTTTACTTACAGAAATTTATCCTAAGGAAATAATTAGACTACCCACAACGATGCGTGATGAGGATGTTCAAGGTAACGTTGTTTATAATAGCAAATGATAACAACCTACGTGTCTATTAAGGGGGACTAGTTAAATAAATGAAAGCATATCCATAAATGATGATGTAGATATACAGGTGCTGACATGCTATATAGGTGCTGAGATGTCGTTAAATAAAAAAGCAAGTTATAAAATGGTATATACAGTGTTATGCAATATATATACATAAACAGATTTATATTGCTATGGATAGATATAGACATATATTACATAAGTCTAAAAGGAAATATGCCTAATATTAGTTATCAATAAGTGATGAGCTTTCAGGAGATCTTCTCCCTTTTCTTTTTGCTTACGTGTATTTTTTTTTTTTTTTCAGTGAACATGAATATTTACATAATGAAAAAGTCAGAGAGGGAGAAAAACAGAAAACAGAATTAAATTCATATTTGAAAGGACTTGAGGTTTGTAACATGACTAGACGCCCTGAAAACTCTGACATCACTTTCTTACTAGCAACAGCCCTCCCTGCCCTCACCGTCTTCTCTGAAGCTAACTGGGCGGCCTTTTGTTTTGAAAACGTGATGCTGAGATGCTTCTGTCAGCCCAGACAGCATGAGCGTAATCTCCAAATTTAAGATTCCAAAACTCTCTAAGCTCAAAAATAGCCCCAGAAAGAATGTTTAAAACTCACAGGCCTAAAAATAAATCTTACATGACACGGCATTCTCTGGGAGTGGGACAGATCCTATTCTCCTCCCCACAGTACTCCTTTGCAGAAGAACAACTTTCAATCAGAGCTTCTGATGCCAAGATGAGTTGGTGCATTTTAACCACCCAACTGCAAATCCAGGAGCCCTGGAAGGACAATGGTTAAGCGCTAGGCTGCTAACCGAAAGGTCAGCAGTTTGAACTCACCAATGGCTCTGCAGGAGAAAAGACCTAGCAATTTACTCCTGTAAAGATTACAGGCTGAGGAACCCTATGGGGCAATTGTACTGTCTTACAGGATCACTATGAGTCAGAATCGACTCAACGGCACACAACAACAACAGTATTCCTTTCCCTCTTCCTCCTCTTCTTTCTGCTACAGTCATACTAAACCGGGCCATCTCTTAGTACTGTCCAAGTTCTGCACAATCACCTGGTTTAAATTAAATTTTAAGCTTGACTTCTGTGGTTTATGTGGTCACTGACTCTCTCCCTAGAATTACAGCCACAATTCAGCAACCTGCCACTTATTCTCAGTTACCAAATATAATAATAATAATTTAAAAAAACTTAGCAATGACAGTGCTTGTACCCACTTTTTATTCTTCCAGGTTTAAGACATCATTATTTTGGGAAATTATATTCTTTGTGGGTGTTGCCTCAAAGTGGCTAATTATGGCCAGCTCTGAATCACAGACCTTGACTTGCAACCAGTCTGTCTGAATAACAGAGGGGCCACCATGAGATAAGCAGGAGCTAGAGCTATACAGCAACCACCAGCCACATGTGCCTATTTAACTTAGATTAAATAAAATTAAAAATTCAATTCCTCAGTTACACTAACCACACTTCAAGAGCCACATGTGGCTAGTGGCTACCATACTGGACAGCAGATATATAGAACATTTCTATCACCGCAGAAAATTGATGGACTGTGATGGGCTAAAGTGCTGACACCGAGCAATCAATACAAAGATGGATTTTAAAACCAGTTTCAATGCTCCCAGTCCTCTCAAGGCAATCTCTGGAATGGCCTGACCTCTTGCCCTCTTTCAGCTTTGGAGGGCACCAATCCCTCCATAGCTACATGCAAATACCATGTTGCGGGCCATTAGGCAGCTTCCCAGCTCCAGTGCCTGAATCAGGAAATGGCTGATAGCAACCCTCATGCACTAAGGCCCCACCCACTACCATCTAGTTGATTCCGACTCATAGTGACCCCATAGGGTTTCCAAGGCTGTAAATCTCTAGAAGCAGACTGCCACATCTTTCTCCCGCGGAGCTGCTGGTGGTTTCGAACTGCCAGGCTTTCAGTTAGCAGTCGATCGCTTTAACCACTGTGCCACCAGGGCTCCTTATGCACCAAGGCAGTGGTTCTCAAACTTAACCACGCATCAGAATCATCTGTAAGGCTTATGAAATCACAGATTGCTTGGCCACTAACCAGAGTTTTTGATTCAATAATCTGGGGATTGAGCCTGGAATTTTCATTTCCAACAAGTTTCCAGGTCTGGGAGCCATACTATGAGAACTATTGCAGCAAGACAGTGAAGACATGCTCATGAAGGAGTTTGCCAAACTTCATTTCTGGCATTAGAAGTTGACTGAAGATAAATAACTTCTTAACATGAGCTGTGTATTTAGCAGGCTTTAGTGCATTCAATATTACCAACTATGGAGCAGATTTCACTAACTGCCTCAGGAAAAAGAAGCTTGGAAACAGTTCCTTCCTAATTCTTCTATTTAAAACAAAATAAAATAAACCAAACAATTTTGGGAAGTCAGCTTGTGCCACTGTTGCTTCTCAAGAGCGTCCAACCAAAGCCTGGAAGGACTACGGTAGTAAAGAAAAACACCTTCACTTGGATTTCAAACTTACTACTGTAATCAAGACAGTATGGTACTAGCATAAAGATAAACATATAGATCAATGGAACAGAATTGAGAGTCCAGGAATAAATTCTTACATTTATAGCTAATTGATTTTTTTATAAGGGTGCCAAGACGATTCAATGAGGAAAGAAATGTCTTTTCAACAAATGGTGTTGGGACAACTGGATATCTACATGCAAAAGAATGAAGTTGGACCTCCTACCTCATATCATGTACAAAAATTAACTTAAAATGTATCTAAAATTTTCACCAAAAAAAAAAAGGTCAAGAAGGGAGAGGACTGACATGTTGTGGGGTTGTTAACCAATGTCATGAAACAATCTGTGTACTACTGTTTCATGAGAAACTACTTGTTCTGTAAGCCTTCACCTGAAGTACAATAATAAAAAAAAAAGTATCAAAAATCTAATTGTAAGAGCTAAAACTATAAAACGCTTAGAAGAAAACATAGGACTCAATCTTCATGGCCTCGGGTTAGGCAAAGCCTTTTTAAACACAACACCATAAACATAAGTAACAAAAGAGAAAAATGAATAAATTGTACTTCATCAAAATTATAAACTATTGTGCTTCAAAAGACACCATACCATCAAGAAAGTGAAAAGACAACTACTGAATAGTAGAAAATATTCTCAAATCATGTATCTGATAAGGGACTTGTATTCAGAATATATGAAGAATTTTTACAACATAACAATGAAAAACCAAATAACACAACTTAAAAATGGGCAAAGGATTTGAACAGACATTTTTCCAAAGAAGATATATAGATGGCCAATAAGCACATGAAAAGATGCTCCATATCATACGGTATCAGGGAAATGCAAATCAAAACCAAAATGAGATACCACGTTCATACTCACTTAGATGGCTATAATAAAGACAGATAATAACAAGTGTTGGAGAGGATACGGAGAAATTGGAACTCTCATACACTGCTGGTAGGAATGTAAAATGGTACAGCTACTTTGGAAAACAGTTTGCCATATGATCTGGCAATTCCACTCCTCAATAGATGCCCAAGAGAACTGAAAACATATTTACACACAAAAATATGTATACATGTTCATAACAGCACTACTCATAATAACCAAAAAAGTGGAAACAATCCAAATGCCCATCAACTGACAAATATATAAACAAAACGTGGTATACCCATAGAAAACAATATTAGGCAAGAAAAAGGAATGAAGTACTGACACGTGCGACAATGTGGATGAATCTTGAAAACATGTGGAGTGAAATATGTCAGAATGTATGATATGAAGCAAAATAATCATATTGTATGATTCTACCTATATGAAATGTCTAGAACAGGCAAATATATAGAGACAGAAAGTAGATCAGTGGTTACCTATCTAAGCCCAGGCTGAGTTGGGAGGAAATGGATACGGTGCTTCTTTTTGGGGTGATGAAAATGTCCTAAAACTGTGATGATGGTTGTACAAGTCTGTGTAAATACTAAAAACTAGTGAATTGATACAGTAAGTCCCCAGGTTATGAACCTCCAGACAACTCCTCCAGACAACTCGTACTCATCCTTTAATGTTATGTAAATTTGCCCTCCCTTTGAAACGTGTGAACCAACCCCGACTCACAACAAATTCTTCATCACAATCACCTTCGCTTGCTGCAGATACAGCTTTTAAATCATTGAAAAGGCTTTGAGCCTTTTCTTGCACTAAAGTAAAGCTAAATAAGAGCAATATGTACCTGTTCTGACTTACCTATAAATTTGACTTAAAGACAGGCTTAGGAATGTATCTCATTCGAAACCTGGGGACTGTCTGTACTTTAAATGGGTGGATTGTATGGTATGTGTTATGGATTGAATTGTGTCCCCCCAAAAAAAGATGTTGTAAATCCTAACCCCTAAACCTATGGTTATAATCACATTTGGGAGTGGGTTTTCTTTGTTATGTTAATCAGAGGGGGTATTAATGTAGGGTGTGCCTTAAGTCAATCTTTTTTGAGATATAAAAGAGTACAAGCAAGCAAGGAAACACAGATGGGAGAAGAGAGATGCCAAGCCACATTAAGACTGCCCGGGAGCAGAAGCTCAGAGAAGAGTCAAGGACCTTCCTCCAGAGCAGACAGAGAAAGCCTTCCCCTAGAGCTGGTACCCTGAATTCAGACTTCTAGCCTCCTAAACTGTGAGAAAATAAATTTCTGTTTATTAAAGCCACCCACTTATGGTATTTCTGTTATAGCGGCGCAGATAACTAAGATTGTATGTTAATTATATTGCAATAAAATTGTTGAAAAGGAACTCAAGTGTTCCGTAAGGAGAGTTGGTTTTGACCCTCAAAGCAAGGATTTGGATGGAAATGATTCATAAAGTGAAAAGGGTCCTGGTATCTTAGCAGGGGAAGCAGAAGGAAGAGGAAAAGAGAGAATAATTAGATAGCAAAATCTCATAATGGAGAAAAAGGAAATATAAGAGGTTCTTAGTCTTCCAGAACTGGCTCTTTATAAAGATCAAAGGTATAAGTTGGTTTGTAACACTTTGGATAAGCAAGAAGGAAAGGTAAAGAAAATCTGGCATCAGTTGGATTTTAACTTCTACACACTAAGCTTTATATCAATACAACAAGCCCACTTCCTAAGAAATTGGAGTGAGAAAGAAAGTCAGTTTTTAGTCATTACACTTACCACTCGGCTGAAGTACTCATCTAGAACTTCCACAAAGTTATGGATGAATTCATAAATAGCCATCTCGTTCTAAAATAAAAGAGTACAATCAATTTTCTTATTGCCCGTGTATACGTTAGACATAGTGCTTCCCAGTCAGCTCTTAGGTTTCAGAGCATGTGGCTTGGTCAGCAGAAAATGTGAGCAAAGTAGCTTCCGCTGACACAAATATTCAGAATAGTTCTATTGATCATTTGTTTAAAAGAAACTTATCAGTGGGAGAAATGTAGAAAACTTTAACTTCTAAAATATTTTTTTAAGTCCACAATGAATCAAGATGGACTAAAACCTTAGAGTCTAGTGTTAATTTTTGAGCTGTACTCCCTGATTTCATCACCAACTGGCTTAAGCCATTTTTCATGTTCTTCATGCCATCATTTTTCCATCTATGAAACAAGATGGGGAAACCACCTTAAAGTTTGGTTCATGAATAAAAGAGAATCAGTTGGTGTTTCAAAGTACTTGAGATCATAAACACCCTTTCAGGGATTCCATGACTATATGTGCTGTTGATCTGGGACTGATATTTCTGAAGAGGTGAACTAAATCTGAGGAGATATAATCACGATGCAGTCATATATGAGGGTAAGTTAAAAAGTACTGCTACAAAATCATAGAAACTTTATTAAACAAAAATATCAAAATGTGAAGCTACTGTTTCTGGACATATCCTCCATCTAGGTCTATACACTTCTGAAGGCAGTATTTCCATCTCTCTAACCATTCCCTGGGAAACCCTTGTGGTATAGCGGTTAAGTGCTACGGCTGCTAACCAAAATGTCAGCAGTTTGAATCCACCAGGTGCTCCTTGGAAACTCTATGGGGCAGTTCTACTCTGTCCTATTGGGTCACTACAGGGTCACTATGAGTTAGAATCACTCCACGGCAATGGGTTTTGTTTGATTTTTTTTTTTTAACCCTTCCCTGAAGAATTCTGCACTCTTCGATTTATACCACGTCAAAATGGCAGTTTTGGCATCCTTGAGGGACCCAAATTGTGTTGCTTTTAAATGTTCTTTGAGTTTTGGGAACAAAAAGAAGTCTGAAGGGGCAAGATCAGGGCTGTAGGGTGGATGGGGTAAGGTTTCCCAACAAAATTCTCATAGGACAGCCCTTGCCACCCTCTAAGAATGAGCAGGTGCATTGTCGTGATGGAAAAAATTCCTCGGTGCAATTTTCCTGGCCTTTTTGTCACCAATGCAGTTTTCGATTTTCTTAAAATTCCTTTATAATAAGCCCCCGTGATCGTCGTGTCTTGTGAGAAAATCTATCAAGATTACCCCTTTGCAATCCCAAAAATCAGTCGCTATAACCTTCTGAGTGGTCTTCCCTCTCTTGGCTCATCTTTGAGGTCTTCCCGACCTTCCTTAAAACGCTTGATCCATCTAAAAACTGTTGTTTTATGTGGGACAGCACTCCCACAAACTTGTTACAAAGCTTCAAATGACTTGAGAAGATGTTCCCTTGAGTTTTGTTAAAAATTTATATTAGCCCTGACCTCAAAATCATTTTTTTGCATGGCACAAACAGTATCTTTTTTTTTTTGGAAGGCACCCTAATGAGACTAAGACAACTGTGTCACTGAGAGAACTTGTCTGCAGCTATCCACTGATTGCAGAGACACGTTTAAACACGTTTTGTCTGAAACAAATCTGTGCATGTATGAACTGGAACCCTAGTAGCAATACTTTTTGACTTACCCTTGTATATAGCTTGCTCTGGCATTTTGGTGTGCCAGCCTATGTTTAATGCCACAACTGACTGGCCTCTGCACTTGTCTAAGTTGCCCATGTGCAGCACCACAATGGCAGGGTGCTGGCACTGCCTCTAATGGAGAAAGGCAGTCTGCAGCTTTGTGCTTCTCCCCTTCATCAGCTGCTCACCTAATCCAAGAAATATTCTAGGTATTTCTCCTCCACACAGCTTTCCCTCTCCTCATCAGAAACCAAGATCCTTCAAAAGAGTCAAGATCATGCTTAAGGAGGCAAACAGGAAGAAAATGTCAATTTAAAGAGGAATAGAAATCACACTTGTTATCCTTAATGTTCTTGCATTTTCCATAAGCTCGTCTATTGTCTCACCTCAGTGTCATTAACTCCAACCACAATGAAGAGAGCTGCATACTGCCGATATATCAGCTTGAAGTCCTTATATTCAACGAAAGAGCACTAGATAAAACACAATTAAATATTAGTTCCTGTGGTTGCCAGAGACCTCTTCAAAATGGTATACCTAATCTCTACTTTCTGATTTGGGTACCTGCTAGAAATATAGAACATTAAAATGTTATACTCCCTTTATTGGGCTTTTTCTCACAACATGGAAGCATCTCTAGTGGGAGGGGGAGAAGTGGTCTTGGAAAAAGAGTCAGAGTGTTTACTCGGGTTCCCACCTGTGCTTGCTCTCATTCCTTTGCTTAGCTCTGTGTGGAACTCAGCAAGCAGGGCTAATAAATAATCAGCATTTTAAAGATTCTCCAATGTGAAAATAAGCAAACACAATAAAAAAGATTTTCTTCTTTTTGCGTTCCCTAGGTTCTTTTGGAAGCAAATACACATAGCATACATATTCAAAAAAACTGTTGATTTCCTTTTCTAGACAGATGAAAGAACTGATGTAGATTCTTTCTTTTATAAATTATTTACAGATGGCCTTTGTGTGGCAGAGGCTAGACAAAATCTCTCATTGTAAACATTGCTTCATATGAATTAATAACTAGCTTACCACCACAGACTTGTGGATAAAACAACTCCCTTCTCATTCATCTCTGTACTAAAGTCACTGTACAAAGGGCAGTGGGAAGGCATTGGGTGGACAGGAATCAGACAGCGAGCCAAAGGCACAGTGTAGCCCTTCCTTTGGACCGTTGGCTGTGTTTGACTAAATGCAGTTGAGCATGAACTTTATGGCTTTTTGTACTGGGATAGACTATTCTCGGGCGCCTGGATGCACCTGGGGATGAAGCTGCAAGTTTTGACTATGGAAATTCTTCTGTGGGAAAGCCATTTGATGGTCTGTAAAACGGAGGGATCTGAGGCTCTTACTTAAAATTAGGACAAAGTAATAAGTACAGAGCCATTCGTGGAGCCAGTGTGATTTCTGCTTGGTTGGATGTTTCAAGGAAAGACAACCTATTTGAAAGAACTAAGGAACATTCTCCAAAGCCTCTCAGGACTTTCTGACATTTTTTTAAAAAGCATCAAAGCACTTTTGTGAATAAAATAAAAACTAAGCTGAGATGGTGCTGCTTTGGTGCCTGATTATGCCAGAGGCCCAGCAGGTTCCTTTTAAAATCTAAAATCATTTAGAATGCTTCAAACATATCTAACAGCAGATTCATTCTAAAGCTTTTATTTCAAATGTTAAACTTTCAGTGAAAATGATGTTTGAAATTGTGGAGTGCCTGCATTCTGTAGAGAGATACAAACAGGATTGCTTCTAAGAGTGTGTTGACTTTTACTTATGCTTTGTGGCTACTAGCACAGCCCTTAACTGCGTCTGCTTCCTTTTGAAAACACCATCAGGCAATGTGTGCCATGGCAGGTCAGTTGTAATTCAAAGAGGAACTCTGAGATGTTCCGACTGGAAAATCAATTTAGAAGCCAAGGGAAACACAGTTGCTGTGCGTAAATTCTGAGCACTGATGTAGCTTAATATTTCATGACTCAGTAGTGGTTTCCCCAGGCAGCCTCTCTACCTATGCAGTGAAATGGGGAACTGACAAAATTACTGGCTGACTTAAACAAGCTTTCTTATTTTTACCTCAGTTGTTAAGTGATTCTCAGTGGATTCGAGTTTGGGACCTGAATTAAGTAATTTTCCATGTAAAGTTCTTTGTTTAAAAAAAAAAAAGAGACTTAAAACAATCACATTTATTATTATTTTAATGATTGTACTTAACCTCTATTTTGGCAGAAAGGACAGATTTGTTGTTTCATATGAATTTTTAACTTCCATTTTTCCCATCTACATAATAAAATAAGCCAAGTTCAAATTAAGTTGTTTTGTTTTGAAATCACTAGGTTCAATATTACATTGCTTGTATATTTATAAAAATGATAACTGGAAAAAAATTGCACACTACATGAGAATTATATAATTATCCTCTGGCACAAAATGGGTCTTGAGTGTTCGCCTTCACACCAGTCATCTAACCTTCACCCTTTGGCTTAAAGAAAGCCACTTGCTACAGATACTGGCAAGAGTTCCACAGGCTGAATTCATATGAATAAAAAAGAAGATACATCTATGAGGGGGACTAAATTTGAGCTGCCACTTCCATGATGCATTGAGACAAATATGCTGACCTAAGAACCCAAGACATTTCCTTGTTTTTATTTTCCTTAAGGTAGTGTGAAGACAGGTATGCTTCAGTCTTCATTTCACTTCATTCCTTATTTTCCCTGATAGCTGTTGAAAGAATATACGTAGCTTAAAGAAAATGAGGGCCCTTGAGACTCAGTAATAACAGATCTGCCACCGCTGAATTGAACAGAGGTAAGAGAAACAGAAACTTACTTGTTCATTAGATCGAGAGAGACAGCTCTTTATGACTTCTGATTCCAGAAGTGTGCGCTTCTTAATCTCCAAGTGTTCATAGTACTTAGAAAGTCGGGTCTGCCCTTGTTTATTTACCATGAGGAAAAATTTTATCATTTTTTTTCCTGGCCAATACTTTTCCAAATATAGTTTAAAAGTTATGGCAAAAGGTGGTTGTAACCGGAACCTGGAGGATAAAAGAACAACAGAAAGACAAAATCAAATTTCCCAAAGAATCATATTAAATCATATTTAATAGCAATAGAGTTTGATGCACTAGAGTATAAATAAATAAAATAAATAAATAAATAAAATAAAATAAATAAAAATAAATAAATAATAAAATATCCTCTGATAACATTGGTCTTCACGTCTATGAACTAAATGAAGTTTTAATAAGTAACAGCTACATAAACATAAATTTTCATTAGTTATTCTCCTGACCCCTACTCAAGATGATCCCTAAGGTGCCTTAAAAATAAACAGACTGCTGGGATTGTTTACTTTCTCCAGGAGAAGCCACTCTACCACTAGTTGGATAATATAAAACACTCTATATTTGCATCTGGAATGACTAAACAAAGTGGTATAGAGTAAATATAGCCTACAGATCGATCTGAATTCTTGTTAAAAATCTGATTTTGATGTACACAGTACTTTCTACTTGCCCACAAATGTTATCTGCCATTTTCAGCAGTTGCAGTTACAAGGATCAGTTTCCCAACCTGCTGCCTGTTGTTGTTAGGTGCCGTCGAGTTAGTTCCGACTCATAGCGACCATACAGGACAGAGTAGAACTGCCCCATAGGGTTTCCAACAAGCAGCTGGTGGCTGTGAACTGCTGATCTTTTGGTTAGCAGCTGAGCCCTTAACCACTATGCCACCGGGATTCCAACCTGCTGCCTAGGAGACTGAAAAAGGAAGGTCATGGCAGGGCTAGGCTAGATCAGCCCAGGTGAGCATTTGCAGCTATCTCAGCAAGGTCTTAAGGTGTCTGCTAAGAATCAGTTTGCAAAGGACTCAGCTGTCAGAACACCAGGCAGAGGCTGGCTTACAGGCTTCCATTTACTTCAAAGCCTCTTTGAGCACAAAACATTATCTATTTTGATGAGGCATCAATGCCTGTTCCAGGGTGGGGTTGAGACTCTCCTTTACTCATGTGTCATGTGGATAAACTGAGCTCTAGTGAGGTAAGCAGATTGCATGGGAAAATTGGACCTGGTGTGTATGAATGGTTCAGTGACTAATCAGAATCCCAGCAAAGTACAGAGAGGCCAGGGCACACTGGATCATAAAGAGGGTCTACCTCTGTGCTGGGCTCAGTAGCTAAGTCAAGCTGGAAACCAGCAAGGATTTTTCTTTGGGGATTTTGCTTGCTTGAGGGGATATGAGAATGCGTTGGCTAAAAGCTTAGCCTTGGGTAAGACAGCTCTGGCTCTGCTACGTACTTGCCCTGTGCCTCTAACTTGCTTGGTGTTTCTGAACCACAGTTTGATGGGTACCTCTGAGGTGTGAGAGTGAACTGGGGTAACATACAAACCAAACCGAAACCTGCCATGGTCAAGTAGATTCTGACTCATAGTGACCCTATAGTACAGAGTAGATAGAACTGCCCCGCAGGGTTCCCAAGGAGTGGCCGGTGGATTCGAATTGCCGATCTTTTAGTTATCAGCCGAGCTCTTAACCACTGCGCCACCAGGGCTCCAACATACAAATAGCACTTAGCAAAAGGTCTGGTCCATAGTAAGTGTTGATTTACGACTAAGCTGTTATCATTGTTACTTCCCTGATGCTATTAAAAACAATAGATTATAGGATAATACTTGGACTTTGTTTTTTTTCCCCTTAATAAATATATTGTCATTAAACATGATATGGAATCTACTGTTAAACTATTCCTAACCCTTGTACAAATTAAATTTATGTGAAATCTCTTTAAGCTTCAGCAACAGGTGTAATAGGTTATTTACAATATGGTGTAAATACCCTTATGAGCATAGATAATATAAAAATGTAATATCGATTAGAAAGTGATGAGTTTTGAGTATTTATATTATCTTTGTTTATAATATAATTTATTTAATAGGAGTTTATGTAATGTAATTTAAAAATGAATTGTGGTAAAGATATATAACAAAACAGTTGTCTATTCAACAATTTTTACATGTACGATTCAGTAACATTATTTACAGGGACTAAGTTTTACATTATTATAATTTTTGCCCTCCCAGCTCATCTCTTATTTCCTAAACCCTATCAGGCAGGTAAGGAGCCCTGGTGGCACAGTGGTTAAGCGCTTGGCTGCTAACCACAAGGTCTGTGATTCAAACCCACCAGCCGCTCCACGAGAGAAAGAATTGCAGTCTGCTTCCATAAAGATTACAGCCTTGGAAACCCTATGGGGCAGTCCTACTCTGTCCTATAGGGCCGCTGTGAGTCAGAATAAACTTAACGGCAACGGATTTTTTAACAGTAGACTTGTATGTCCCATCAGAAATACAGAGTTAGAAAAAAACAGTTGCCGTTGAGTTTTATCAGGCAGGTGGTTATCTCACAACAATTCCAAGCACTAACAGCTATAAAGAGCCAGGCTGCTTAATACACAGGCCCAGTCTGGCAAGGCCTAGGGTTGCTGCAGCTCATTCATGGTGCAGAATCCCAGGGCAGACAGGATGTAGTAGACCAGCTCAGCTGGGGATATGACAGCTGTGCCATGGGAGGGGCCTGTGGTCATTCACTCCCTTTTCCAGGAAGATAAACTCACTGCCGTAGGTGGGAATGCAACATACCCTTTGTGCTTAATCTTTTGATATTAAATGCTGCTTTTATTCTCCTTATAAAGTATTGCCAGCAAATGATGGCAGGTGGCTAGTAAGTTCAGATTATCATCCTTTCTTTTATTCCGCTTCAGTAATTTTAAAACCACCTTTATGATAGTTAGAAAGGTTATGATAGTTGGAAAGTACAATCCTATAGCCTGGATTCACCCTGCCAGGCAAGAGTAAAAAATTGTCTTCTCAAAGCCATCCATATCCGAACCTTTGCTTTTAAATGCTCTGGTTGCCTTAGGTGGTAAAATGAGATGTAAACATAGCCCATTGGGATGTACATCAAGGGATCAAATTGGTTTCTACCTCAGAAGCACAGCATTCCTTCCCACTGACTTCAAGAGCAAGGATGACCAACAAGGACTTGTTGAGCTGATACTTATTAGAATGCAAGTTTTGAAAAGAGTAGCTGAAGGCATCTAAAGAATTGTATCCATCTTTCTTTTTGCACGCTCATAACAATTACACGATTTATTACTGTAGGATTCCACAGTGGTAATTAAGTGGAGAAGCACAATTATAAACTATTGTTACTATAAGACAGACAACGCCAAAACATACAATGCCGAGACTCAGAGAAAATACAGGTTTGAGAACTGAAGATGAATGCTTTAGGCACCCATCCTGGTTACTAGTCATCAGAGAAGAGGGAGATCAAACAATTATGAAACTGAGGGAGGGCAGTAAGGAGGAATATGCTTAGACGAGCGCTGGGAGTGGTCAGGGAGCAGGTATGAACTTCCTCTATTTATAAACTCTTGGTATTCAACAACACCCAGGGCTGGGGAAAATGTTTTGCTGGCCAGGAAGTTAGGCGATTCCACCACACCCAAGAGCCTAAGTGAAGGTGTAAGAAAAATCTTAGGAGGAATAAAGAAAGGAAGCTTCACTGAGGGAAAGCAGGACTCAAAGAGTGCTAGGGCACCCTCGCAGGGAATCTAGAAGACCCCCAGAGAAAAGAAAGTAAACTTAGACCAGGAAATCAAACAAGAATTTCCTCCTGGTTAGCTTTATCCTAAGGACATGTCTTAAAGGCCAAGACTGGTCAGGTTGGTGGATTCACAGAATATGAACAGACTCATGTCCCAGAACCCTACATGATGTAAAGTTAATGCCCAGAGGAAAGACAGACTGAAAAGACTGACATACATATTGAATTGGGCACAGCTTTCACATTGCTGTTGGTGTATTTCTGGGAGTTAGAACTGGAAGAGTCTTTATAGATTGTCTTATCCAAAGATAGAAAACAACTTTCAGCTTGGGTGCCCACTGTAAGTACTGGCTGCCTTGAGTGCTATGTTGAGGACTCTGGAGCTGCTTCCAGGATTCAGAGCGATAGGAAGCCATGAACAATTAGCAATGTCAGCCGTGGGTGAGGAAGAAAGGAGTGGCAGCATAGGCACCTTATATTTGTCATCCTTGATGTGCATGCCCTTCATTTTGCAGATGGGAAAATGGACGATCAGAGAAGCAGAGTGAAGTCCTGAATTTGGGCCTCCTGACTCATAATATAATGCTGTATTTAATACCTCACATTGCCTGTTTCCCTCACTCAGTGTATTAGTGTTACTAAATGTTCATTTAAGCTTAATAAGCATCAGCTTCAGGTAGCCTTGGGAATGATTAAGTCAATATTCTCTTTTCTAATGTTGCTATATAATTAATCTAGAAAATACCAAACAAACCACTGCATAAAAGCAGAGCATACAACTTCTAGAAATGAAAGTGATATTTGATGATTGCTAATATCCCTTCTAGAAGCCCTGGAGGTACAGTGGTTAAGCACCCAGCTGTTAACCAAAAGGTCGGTGGTTTGAACCCACCAGCCGCTCTGTGGGAGAAAGATGTGGCAGTCTGCTTCTGTAAAGATTACAGCCTTGGAAACTCTATGGAGCAGTTCTACTCTGTCCTATAGGGTTGCTATGAGATGGAATGAACTCAATGGCAACGGGTTTAACATCCCTTCTAGGAGTCCCTAGGTGGTTAAATGGTTAAGCGTTTGGCTACTAACCAAAAGGTTGGTGGTTTGAACCCACCCAGAGGTGCCTCAGAAGAAAAGGCCTGGCAATCTGCTTCCAAAAGGTCATAGCCATGAAAATCCTATTGGGTTCTACTCTGTAACACATGGGGTCGCCATTAGTTGGAATCGACTCCGTGACAACTGGTTTGGTTTTTCAAACATCCCTTCTAATTCTAAATGCGTGATTCTATGTACCCCATAATTGTAGAAAGAAAAAAACACATATATGGTATATAGTGTGTGCATGTGTGTATACACATACACATATATTAAGATAACATCAGACAAAAACATACTTAATTTTGCCTACCTTAGGCGGCACAGTGGTTAAGAGCTTGGC